TGAGATCTGAACAGCTGAACTGCAGAACTGCAGTCAGCTGAAGTAGCCTGCAGTGCTGCATTTAACCACTGCCCCACCTCGGCTTCATCATGTTGGTATGCAGAATGGTTGGCCTTGACCAGGTCCAAACACCATGCGCAGAAGATGGTGAGAAGAAAACTCTCTTTTTCATATCACCTCCTGTACCATTTATTCCCATCCTAAATACCATGCCCCCACCTTCCCCGTGTAAGGGCTCCTCTCCTAACTTAAGAAAGTGAAGACTCCTGAAACAGATTATTTCAAAAGGAACCTTTAATTAAGAAGAATGGAAGCCGTTAGGGCAAAGCAACATCTGAATCCCCTTAGGCAATGCAAGTAGAATTAAAGTAATAGTGACGCCTTCCCTTTTGTCAGAATGCAGTTTTTGGCCAATACACAAGTGTGAAAATGTTTCCTTTACCAACTGCCCTGAGAGCTGAATAAACATACATTCCCATGGCTATCTTTTGTTAGACATTAAAGTAAGATACCCCACATGGCCATCAAAAACATCCCTCCAGAGGTACTGAGATCTCTGTCCTTCTGGCGCCAGGAAAGCAGTTGTAAAATATCAGTTGTCATGGGCACCTCCAATAAATTACTCCAAGGCCCCCCTCCTTCCAATTGAATGGCAGTATCACGTTTAGGGATCTGACACCCCGTTTCTATGGAAGCCGATAGCAAGTAAGCAAAGCAGAGGCTGACATTACCTCCCAGAGTTCTGAAGGAACTGACAGATGTTATTTCAGAACCATTATACCATATCTTTCAAAAATCCTGGAGCACCAGGGAAGTACCAGAGGACTTGAAAGGGGCTGATGTGGTTCCCAACTACAAAAATAGGAATAAAAAACAGACCCAAGGAACTACACACCAATTCCTGGGAAGATCCTGGAAAAGATAATCAAAAAACAGATCTGTGAACATCTAGAAACAACTAAAGTTATAACTAGTAGCCAGCATGAGTTTGTTAAAAACAGATCATACCAAACCAATCTTATTTCATTCTTCGATGAAGTGACTAAATTAATAGACCAGCGAAATGCCATGGACATAATATACTTAGACTTAAGTAAGGCATTTGACGAAGTAGTCCACAACCTACTTATTGGTAAGCTAAAAAAATATGGAATAGATAACATCACTACCAGATGGATTAGTAGCTTGCTGACAAACTGTACTCAATGAGTAGCCCTTAATGGTACTATCTACATGAAGGGAAGTAAGCAGTGGGTTCCATCTTAGGCCCAGTACTCTTCAATATCTTCATAAATGACTTAGATGATGGAATAGAAGGGGAATTCATCAAATCTGCAGTTGACACTAAACTGGCAGGAATAACCAACATCCTAGAAGACAAGCTCAGGGTCCAAAAAGATTTTGACAAATTTGAATAGGCCCTATCCAACAAAATAAATTTTAATGTGGAGAAAAGCAAAGTTTTACATTTAGGTAGAAAAAAAATCAAAGGTATAAGTACAGATTAGGTGAGACCTGGCTGAAAAACAGTAACTATGAGAAAAACTTTGAAGTCCTTAGTGCATGATCACTTGAATATGAGCCTGCAGTGTCCTATTGCGGCCAAAACAGCTAATACAGTCCTGAGTTGTATAAAAAGAGGCATAGAATCAAAATCACGTGAAGTTTTAGTACACTTTATAAAGCCCTAGTAAGATCACACCTGGAATACTCCAACCAATTTTGTCACTGCACTACAAAAAAGTTGTTGAGACATTGGAAAAAAATTCAGAGAAGAGCAACTAAGATGATCAATATTTTTCTGATGTTTGTGTTTGATATAGAAAGTGTTAGATATCTGTTTGTATGGAAGATCATTCTGTTGACATCAACAGGATTGTCAAGATGTTTTCTTCCTCAAATATTATAAAGCTGTAGCAAGAAATTATTGGATAGCAGTATATTTTAACTGTTAATCCAGATGTAATAATCACCTGATAATATTTGGCCTGATAATTCTAGCATCTGTATATTATTCAAATGTAGAATCAGAGATTTTTTTTGGAAATATATATTTTCATTGGTTGATTATGTTCTATTCCAGAATTTCAGAGATCAATTGAAGTTCATTAAACTTATATTAGGGATTAGCATGCATCAATTTTCATAAATTGAAAAACAAAAAGTTCAAGTAATTTACTTTTGAATTTGGCTTTCAGGAAAGACATCCATAATGTTGTTCAAAAATGTAAAGAGGATAGCTGCAATTTCACAATTGAATTTCACAATTGAATATGTTCATGCAAGAGAGGAATATGCTTTGATAGCATGGTTACAGCTGCCATCCTAACTTTTTTGACTGGATGCCATGCATTCATGAATGCTAGGCATATGTTGAACAATAATTGGATTCTGAAACAACTGCTTTTGGTGAAACCTTACTCTGGAATCTTCTTTCTCCATAGCATCTTCCAGATGCATTACATTTCTACTCTCTAACAGTCATCTTTCAACCTTATTGGAAGACAGCAGATAGAAAGCAACTGCCATGTAATAATGCAGAATCCAGCAGAGATCTTTATTTTCCTGAAGTGTTTTAATGTCAAATCTCTCTTGCATTAAAAGTAATCTGATGACATAATTTATCAGTGAACTGTTGTATTTCACTGCTTACAAGGTACTGCATTACAATTTATAAGAATTTGAAGGCATGTAAACCAAGTGAGCTTAAGCAATATAAACTAAAGAGAAATGCCAAGATTTTGACATACAAAGTTCTTGATCGAGACTAATAAAATACTTTAATTGGGCTGACAGGCCAGTCTTACTTGGATTAATTGAGGCTGCAATCCAATGAAAACTTATTTGAAAAAGAGCCCACTGACTAGACATTTTTCTGAATAAGCATGTGTAGGATTACACTGTGAACAATTGTTAGAGCAATGTTTGTAATTGACTTGTAATAAATTTTGATTTATGCTTCTTACATACTGTGATATTGTACAAACATTGAACAGTCTCTTCCCCAAAATGAAAATTAAATACCATGGTTTTGATCCCACCTTGGATGAACATCTGGATAATAATCAACCCTGAATTTAAGATCCTAGTCTAAGTTGGAAATATGGGTGACCTGGGTACCATAGAATCCACAGCCCATGTTAGAATAGAATAAAATAACAGAGTTGGAAGGGACCTTGGAGGTTCTAGT